CGCTCAAAGATGTCGTTGACGAAGGAGTTCATGATGCTCATGGCCTTAGAGGAGATGCCGGTGTCCGGGTGCACCTGCCAGATGGTAATTGAGCACCATCTCACACACCATCACCCTGGAAGGAGCTGGGGGGGCCCTTCCCACCCCAGACAGGGCACCCTAACCCCAGAGGGACCCACAGCTGCCACCCTGTGTGCCACTTGCATGAGACCAAAGAGACACCCCCATGACAGTACAGTGGCTTTGGGATCATACTGGCAGGAGTCTCCACACAATCCTCTGTGGAAAACAAGCCTGTAAGGGGTGGAAAAGCCCACATGCTCCAAGTCCTGCCTACAGGCTCATGCAGACAAGCAAGGCCTAGGCAACTCACGGCCACCTCTCAAAATTCTTTTTCTGATCTCCCCAACAGAAGTGACCAGAAAGATTGTTCTTACCCTGTTGACCTCCTGTCAATAATTTCTTTCAGCAGAGCCATGCACTAGAGCTCATTCTCTCTAGGAAACCCTTTCTGATCTAGATCCATCTCTTACCTCCTACATCAAGAAACCCCCACCTCCCTTTTGAGACTCAGCTAGGGCTCTCCTGTACCCACTCACTCATTTTTTCAACTCACTAAAAACCTCTTTATAAGGTTAACATGCAGTGGGCAGAAGTAACTTTACACATGAAGGAAGCACTTTCTAGCAGAAACAAAACATTTACTCACCTGCTTCAGTACTTTGTAGATATAGACTGAATAGGTTTCCCTTCTCTTAGGTTTCCTCTTAGGCTTCCTGTCCCCAGAGGCAGGAGCAGGAGCACGACCACGCTTCCTCCCAGCCTCCGCACTCATCTCAGCCCCCAACAGAGCAGCAGCAGGTGCTGTGGGGCTGGTTATATAGCAAAGGCAGCAGGACACCACCTGCCTCGGGTGCGGCTCCCAAGGAGTGGGATGAATACACACCTGTGACTGATGATTCCACTTTGCACTAAGTGAAGGGCAGCTGGCCCCGGGCTTTGCCGAGAGGGAAGGAGGGGATAGGTGCTGCAGGAACTGAGCGGCAGGAGCGATGCAGTGCCAGGCCCACCATGCACACACAACGTCCCCGACACCGGCCAGGCCCAGGCACCTTGCTCAGACCCCCGCC